ACTACCGAGGTAAAAATTTACTCTCGTGCTAACTGAGTTTTTGAACGTAGGGAGAGTAGTAAATATTTACCCCAGTGAGGTTTTCAGCGAGTATAGAGAGAGTAAATTTTTACTACCTTCACAAGGTTTTTGACGTGATTACTGGGAGTTATTTCTGGTGGTAAAAAAATGAAAACGACGGGTGCATTCGCCTAGAGTCGACGAATTTATTGAATAGCAGAATTGATTGAATTTATTGAACGGCAGCATTGGTGACACATACATTCACATACAGACAAACACTCACAGACAACAAATGCAGAATAATACACCACTAGCACAGACCGCACGCGTTTTTTTTTTCTTTACGATCACAGACCGCACGCGTTGCTCGACTACACTTCGACAATCCGGTATATATATAGGCACGACTTTTTGACCGGCAATGTAGTACCGGTAGGAGAGCTCTTTTTTTGCATCGATTAACAACAACGCTTGAAAGTGCAAGCGTAAGCTTCAGGTGGGCTGCCGGGCACTAAATGTCACACCAACCTTTTATTATAAATCTACACGATCTCACCTTTTTGATTATCCAATAATTGCTTGGCACACCGGGCTCTTTGCCCCACGCGTGTTAGCACTGCTGATGCACAAGTCCACAAAATATACCTAAGTACGCACAAAGCATGGTAGCTCAATGATTTTCATTCAGCGACGGTGCACAAACACAGTAGCAGCACGTATTCATCACAACGGGCGTAGAAGAGCCTGCATACAAGCCTGCCACGCCTGCATACAAGCTGCTTACCGACGGCGTTCTAGGCCTTTTTGAGGAGCACGGCTATCCGATAAAACACAGCTGGCGATCACAGAACACATATCCTGTGCGAATTTCGTCGTCATTTCAGACACAAATGAACACGTCACCGCTATCTTACGGGGACGGGGCGGTGTATGCACACTTCCAACGAAAGACCACTATCCGGGTTTTCTTCGTGCTCACGGGCAGCCTCTTGTTGTTTCCGTCTGCCTCGTATCGGCTTCGCGCTACATGTTTGAGAACAGTTGGTGCATGAGGTGGGCAATTCGGGCAGCACTTTTACTGTGGAACAAAATATATGCGATGCTTCTTTCACCTGCCCCGGCGACACACTCCCACTGGTCACTGGTGGCCACGGCTCTGTGACGACGACAGAGTGAAGCATTTTGCTTATTGCTTCTCCAGCAGGCAAGCACGGGCGATGACACCAGATTGATTTTGTTACCACTGGCAGATCTTCACGATTCGGCTCGGAAGTGAGATATCCGCGACGTGCAGGTTCGGAGGCGCTCGGAAGAGCACGGTCGCTCGGTGATGTAGGAAACACGTGAGATCCATCAGCCCAACCAGACACACAGATTCCGAGCTTCTTGCACTGTCTGTCTTCAAGGCCACCGCAGAGCAAAAGTAACATTTTGCGAAAATATGCAGGACAGCTTTCCACAGCAGGTTTTCTTTCTTTTTTTTTTTGAGAGCCCCCCCCCCCCCGCCTTTTTTTTTCCCTTCAAAGAATGCTGTTCTCGCTTGTTGTGCTTATGCTGCCCCCAGTTCCAGTAAAAGTGCGCTGACTCGAGGTCAGTCCAGAGGCACGGCGATGCAAAAAAAAAACAAAACAAAACAAAAAACATCTGTGGGCTTCGCGTACCTTCAGTATTCACTGAGAGCGTCACAAGGGGGGTATGGGGCAAAAGCCGCCGAAGCAGCTGCACCTTGCAGTCACGTGGTAATAAACTCTGAAACGCAGGTTAAAAATCACGTGATAGAAAACTCCCTAAGTGGTAAAACTGGATTTTGACATCCTTCTACTACTTGCCTGAGGGGTGGTGGTAAAACTATGTCATGTACCATCTTTTACTCCTACGCGAGGTAGTAATTTTAAACCCGAGAGAGTTTTCAGAGGTCATGAGCCGGAAAAACCCCAAACTGGGATAGTTTTTGCTTACAGTGTAGGCGCGCGCCGCGCTGCGTTGCATTGACGCATGCTTGTTTCAGTGCGTCCGGCGTCCCTCCGTCACGAAAAGAGGGAGACGCAGTGTTGTCTGGGTAACGCATCGGCGCTAAATGCAGCAAGTCTAACTTCGTTCCGAATGCCGCCGGGACACGCCGGCGGACTCTGGTCGCGCCGGTCGCGCCTGGCGTCAGACTATAGAGTACTCGCGTTTTGCTAACGTAGCGCCGTTGTGCCCAGCGTGCGCGCGCGTCAACGCCACATTGGAGTATATTAGGCCCTTCATTGAGTGCTCGCGGCCATTTTGCTAGCTCCACATATACCAAATTTGGTATCACGTGACTTGAATAGATGACGAAGGTATACGACACATCTAAACATGATAATCTTGACACGCGTGTCATTTCAGAACATGACAACATACCACGCTCATAGCGTGTTCACGGCCGTTTCGCTAGCTCCACATATTCTAAATTTTGTATCACGTGACGTCAATAGATGACGAAGGTAAATGACACATCTAATCATGATAATCATGACACGGAACTCATGTACGGCGTCATTTACCTCCACCTCGTAACGTTGTGCTGATTTTATAGTGACATATCAACAGTTCTCATTCGTGCTTTGCATATCATCGATTCCCACTGTACGTGGGATCTGCCAATTTGTTTCGTACCACAATGGCCCTGTTTTTACGTGCTTCCCGTGTGTTATTTTACTACAAAAACATGATTTCAACACCTTTAAATTAGGTACTGTGGAGCACCAGAAATATTCCCCTATTTCTTGCGTAGATGTTTAACAACTATAAGTATCGTTGTACCTCGATGTTTAGTAATATGCGTAAAAATACGCTAACGTCTGAAAAAATTTCTCAGCCAGGTGACGTGCAGTTAACTCGCGCCTATAGTGGACCAACGTAAGTACTTTCACTCACTCCTTAGATATTATGCTCGGTATTTAAAATTACAGTAGTTAACTTAATGTCAACAAGAAATTCGGCATCAAATTTGTTATTTGTTTTCAAGTACACGTATCAATGTTAGCCTCTACACATCGAGAAAGTAACAAATACTCGAGATGGAACCATTTTGTCATCACTCTTGGCGCCATAGAAGTTTCACAGGTTGCAAGAGGACCTACATAAGGGTGTTAGTTTACCTCCTTAATTGGCTGTTTATTACTTTTTTTGGGGGGGGGAGGGGGGTACCAATAGTTGCGGATGGCACGAAGGGGCTCAAGTTCGCTGAAGAAGGACAGTAGCTGCACATACGGAATGAAATAAATGTCCATAAAAATCACTTTCTCTAATCTAGGTGCAACATTTGGCACGACGTGCTGCCTCATTGACAAAAAAGCAAGTAGGTATACTGTATACACACTCGGTGCTTTCCCCCCGATACTTCTAGTGTTGCACTCTTCATAGCTTTGCTAGCGGCAGCATAAGCAAACAATTCTTGGTACAGGTCACGTTTCTTACGTGTTTGCCTTGTGGCGTAACTCAGGCTCGGTTTCATTTGTTTGTCGTAAGCATGGAACTCCCGTCGCAGGCGGCCTTCAAAACAACTTGAACCAAACGTTAATGCGTTTATCCGGGCTCTCAAACGAGGACGTAGGGCCATCATTGCGAGTAGAAAATGATGACATCTGGGTAATCTGGACAAGAAGTTACATGTTAAATCAATTACGTTCTGCAAGCAAACTTCTTTTTTTTATTATTGGTGATCGACCGAAGCAGAGTGTACAAAATCATGCTCTTGGTGCTACGCAGAGTTCTCTAGCTCGTTATCTTTATTGTGTGTTAGACAAAATGTCATCTGACTTTTGCTTCAATGTCGAATTTTAAAACAACCTGTTAGTGGCCTAGTTGGTTCTCGCTGTTGAGTGCACCCTCAATACATTCGATTTCAGGGTGTGCATACGTAACTACACGAAGTGACTGAAGGCTATTAAAAAATTCGGGCTTACGTGGAGAGAATATTCGTTTCGAGGACAGAGTAAAAAACACAATATATTCGTCTAAGTTCTACGTGCTAAACTTTCGTATGTAGAGAAGCTTGCGTTGCCATCAACCGTCATTTGCCTGGTGCTTGTGGAGCTCGGCTGCTGGTCCGAAATGTGCGAGTGCGAATGCGGTCGCGGCCATCGCATTTCGATGCAAGCGAAATGCCGGAGGTCCTTGTTCTTGGTGGCGTCAGTTCACGTTATAGAAGACCAAATGGTCTAACTTATCGGGGCCATCCACTACGGCATCTCGCATAGCGGGAATCACTTTGGGATGTTACAACCCGTATAATACCAAACACAGGATGCCCACGACTAGCCAAATGATCTGTCCTGACTCACTCGCTGGATTCCGTGCCGACCGGTTGTGCCCTCGCAATCTCCGACGACAGAGCAGCTCTGGCCGACTGGGCTGGTCCTATGCCACCTCCTGACGCCGGTTCCTGACGACGACGACAGCGCAGCTCTGGCCGACTGGATTAGCCCTACGCCATCTCCTGACGCCGACAAGAGCTCTCGCCAGTAGTGCACCGTCGTCGGACTCCTGCAACTGTGTTCATCTTTCCCGTCTTCTCCTTACTTCCGTCGTTCCCTGTCCCTGTGCCTCGCTCTCTCCTTCCTCTCTCTCTTTATCGCTTTACCTTTCAATCCTATCCTTTTAATCCCTTCTCTACACCATCCCTCGTGAGCTACTGTTCAGGTGTATCTCCCCCTGAGAGACAGTTACGGGGCTCACTTTTCTCTTTTCTTTGTTTAAAATCAATTCACTCCCCCCCCCCTCCCATGGTCTGTCCTAATACTCACTGAGAGTCAGTTTAATTTAGTAATGAGTGCGAAATTTATTTTAAGAAACGCTTCTCTGCATCAGCATGTGGGTCCTGTGCGGCTGTGTAATATAGCAGTCTCTCGGATGCTTCCTTTGATTCCGCGTGTCTCGTTGAAACGACCGAATACTGATTCTTCCTGTTATTATGCTCCCTGCTAAACGGCAATGCGTGAATGCGGATTAACGACGCCCTTCGGGAAGGTCCGAGTGATCCATTGCTCGTACAACCACGACGCCTCGCGACGAACGGTACCCGGCGTGTGCTTCGACGTCTACGTGGCTGCGCTTTGAGAAGAGGCGCCGTCGACACCACTTACCCTGTTCGCCTCTTTCAACACCGCCTGCTGCGCAACTTTCTCGTCAACTGTTCACATCCGAAGGGCTCACTGCAGAGAGTTACGTGAAAGGCCTCGAGACCTTCTTCCTACTGCCCGGGATCTGCGCCCCTACTCAGGTTAGAGTTAACTTTTTGGCACTCGAAGACACAAACTCGTATTAGCGAGGCGTATGTGATTATTTAACGGTAACCTGTATTGATAACAGAACGCATTGTCATGATCAAGGTTGGTGCAAGTGTGTCATGTGTGGGCTGTGAGATTCTTTCAGATAAGTAAATTGCATTGGACACGTTTAGGCATCTCATAGTTTTAATGAGTAAATAATCAAATATGTTGGCTTGCAGTACGTCATCGTATCGATAATGTACTTCTTTTAAAGAAAAAAAAGCGGGATATCTAAGGCACTAAAAACAACTGATACAGATAAGATATTGAAGTATTGGATATTATATATAATCTGCATAAAAGAACAGTGTGCTTCTGCGCTGGCAGTGACGATGGAGATTGGTTGTCGAAGTGAATGACAATGATGCTGGTGTTGCAAATGAATTCTCCGTAAACCTTCGAGGTGGCGGAAAGGTTAACAAAGCGAAAGAAGGCAACCACCCGTTTTGGCAACTAAGAGAATTTTCTTTCTGAGAATTCCTTACAAACTTCCTTGTGGCCTCATGCTACAAACAGGTGGTTGTCCACTTTTCATTTCTTAATGATGCTGGTGAATTCCTCAAGAAAATAGTAGAGAGGATTCGAATTGCTAGTGACGTTCACGGCACTTAGTAAATTAAAAGGAGAATTTCTGTATGATTGCGTGCTGAAAATTATACGCCTACTCTCATCGAGAAAAGTGGCATGTTACCCGTGTAGACACTGACCACTTGGCTACGACGACGCTGAGATTTCAATTAATGCAAGATCAATGAAGCGGCGACTTCGGTGACTGAGAAAAAAATATTTACTATGGATAGGCAAGAAGCAGCTCAAGCCCATAGAACGTACTTGTGAGAGCTTGAGTTTCCGAAAGTTTTTGTTTGGACGAGTTTGTAAGCTTCTCTTTTCGTGCTTTCTTGCAGTGTAACGGCAATGTGGGTTGGACTAGCGTTGTACTTCACTGTGTGCTGTCTGGTGGTCGGAAGATCGCAAGAGGCGGCTAATGTCGTTCACACAACTTGCGGAGACGTCCGAGGAATCATCCGTTCGACAACGACTGGTTCAGTGCTAGCCCTCCTTGGAATACCTTTCGCCGAACCACCAGTCGGCGAACGTCGCTTCAGAAAACCGATGCCAAAGAAGCCCTGGAAAGGCGTGCTGAATGCTACCTCGCTACCACCCATGTGTCCCCAACCTCCCGTTAAGGTAAACAGCCACTTCGACGTAAAAGCGACGGATCCCTTTTCTGAGGACTGTCTCTTTCTTAACGTGTTTAAACCAGTTTCGAAGCACGATTCTACCCTGAAACACGTCGTCGTGTTTGTTCACGGAGGAGCTTTTACATTCGGAGGCATTTACCTCAAGATATTCGATGCGTCTGAACTCGCCGTGCGAGGAGACCTTGTTGTCGTCACCATCGCCTACAGACTGGGGCCGTTCGGGTTCCTGTATCTGGGCACCGAAGAGGCACCTGGCAACATGGGCCTCTACGACCAGCAACTTGCAATGCAGTGGGTCCGAGAGAACGTCCGTTCTTTCGGTGGCAACCCGGATGTCATCACTGCAATGGGTCAAAGTGCAGGGGCCATGTCATTGGGAATTCACCTGCTGTCGCCCGGTAGCGCCGGTCTCTTCCGACGCGCCTACATGCAGAGTGGAAGCCCATTCGTCAGTGCTTTCTCAAGTAGCCCAGTGGAAGCGAGGAGGAAAACAGACATGCTTGCAAGCTACCTCGACTGCAAGGAACGGAACGATCGAGAGCTCTCAGTTTCGCAAGTTATTAGCTGCTTGCAAGCCAAGCGCGTCGATGACATCGTGAAAGGCGCACGAGTTTTCAACGCAGATGGATTGAATGGATTTTTCCCCGTTTTAGGGGGTGATTTCGTATTGGGAACGCCCGACAATGCCCCTGCGCTGGTTCCACACAGTGTAAGCGACGTTCTGATAAGCATTTGCGCTGCCGAGGGAGACTTCCTTATTGATCATATGCTCAAACTCGCCAATAATATTGACAACATTCAGCTTGTTTCGAAACGATACATGGCACTACTTATCAAGTTATCGCTGGCGAGGTCTATGATTGCGGACGCCGAACCTATCTTCGAGCGTTACTTTCGTCCTGCGGCTGCAGACAGTGGTGTCCAAGTCGTTCACGCTGGCTCTGATATCCTAAGAGACTTTTATTTCGGCTGTCCAGCGCGCAGCATTGCCCAATGGCTCTCAGCTTCGAACACGTCTGTGTACTTCCTTCTGTACGATGAGCAACTATCCACCCTCGATTGGCCTGACTGGGTTCGCTCGACTCACGGAGATGACCTTGCGTTCAGCCTCGGCTCGGCTCTCGTCCTAGACGGTCATCCTTCCGAAGGAAACGTCAGGGCAACTGAAAACCTGATAAACGTCGTCGCGACCTTCAGCCGCTCTGGGTAAGAATGTTGCGTCTAACGGTGTCGCATTCCAGATTTCAATACTGTGCATTTATTGCTATTTACAGAGTACCGAAGGTCTTGGATGGTACCGTATGGCCAAAATTTGATGACGAGGGACAGTATCTGCACATACGGAACGGAAGCAGTGTCCGGCGAAAGCATTTCCTCCAATCTACTTGTGAATTTTGGCGCAGTATTGTACCTAATGAATAAAAATTAGGGTACCCTAAAGCTTCGACTTCAGGAGTTCAACGCGATAGCGACATCCTGTTCCTAGTGCGTACTTCAAACACTTAGTACATGAAACCTTTTCGAATTTGCTATGCACCCACTACGTGGTCTTAGTGGAATAGGCGCAGTAACGTGTGTGCCTTTTGTAGTGGGGTACCAGATTTCAAGCACGGAGCTATTATAATAATCACATTTTGTGATGCCCGTTTGCTTGTACCACGCATTAATACTGCAATATTTCATGTCGCATTGTGAAGCATGTATACAAGACAGGTGTGTTTGTGAAGCATGAAAGGTATACTTTTTCTGAATTTTCAAGCAGAGGAAGTTCTTTACACTGTATTCACAAGCAGAGGCGTGACTTTGCGGTAAAACATCCGCTTGCACGCAAACAGTGTGATCCCCACTCGGACCCCAACAAGCCTGGTTCGGTCCCCACTTTGCTGCAGGGTTTTTATCATTTATTTATTTTATTTCCATCGTTCTCGATTTTTCAGTCAAGCATAAGATGATGATCTTTCGCTCACAACCTACGTCGCCGGCACTGACGCCGACACCGAAATTTCTGCAAAACGAGCCTTTTAACGCGATAGCGTTAAAAAGCAATGCAGTACCTAAATGTTACCCATTTTATCTGCTGTAATACGGACGGGCGATTGGGCTGACATAATGAACCGGGCTACCTTGGTGAGTACGACAGAATTTCGGCAGTAAAACTTCGTGATTTGCTCACCGTTATCACCACCTAGCTACGTCGTTGATAAAGTGGTTGCTCGGGTGAGTTGGTACGATATAATGCGCACAAAAACAGCGCCAAGAACGGAGGATACAAGAAAGAAGGTGACAGGCAGCGGCGCTGACTTACAGCTAAATTTATTTGCTGGAACCGGGCAGTACATGCTTCAGCAGTATCTGACCAATAGGTGTTTCTTTGTTTTTTAGCTTTGTTTTATAGTTCCTCATATATTAGTCAGATACTTCTCAAGTATATATTGCGTGATTCCAGCAAATAAATCATGTTGTAAGTCAGTGCCGCTGCCTTTCTCCTTCGTTTAGGGGCGAAGCTCCTTAAGGCGTGGGTCTGTGCATCCTCCGATGTTGTTGTACGTAGCCACCGGTGGCACATACCCGCTCTAGAGCGGGTACGTACCACAGGAGATGCGGGATGGCGGTACTTGGAGTGTTCACTAGATGGACGCACGGCGGACGGAAAGACGGATGGACGGTCTCATGGACGGCCGCATGGACAGACGTACAGACGCATGGATGGTCGCACGGACGGACGGAAGCACAGACGCGCTGACGGACTCTTCGCCTCACTCATCATCATTCGCTCCGTGGATATGCTGTTATTTTTTTCTTGTCCAGCATTTTTGGCGCTGTTTTTATGTGAATTACATCGTTGAGCTACCTTGTTATAACTATAATCCAGCTTGTTACCTTTTCAATGAGTTATTTTTCAAATATCATCAGACACCTCAACCTTCGGACAGCCATACGTAGCCCACTTTAGCGGCAGGCAAGTTGAATCAAGATGGTCAAGGTCTATATAGATCTATCCGAAACTGTTTCACATTTGCTGGAGCTTTTTGGACAATGAACAATGCCATCATGAAATTAACGCTATAGCGTTGAAGGGTGTGGCAGTTTGGGCTAGTTGGCATGACATGACAATAGTTATAGCGCGAGAACAGAAAGACGACTTCTTGTCTTTTTGTCGTCGTTCTGTTCTCGCGCTTTAGCTATCGTCAAGCGTTGAAGGCCTCGTTTCACAGTAGTACCGCGGTGTCGGCGTCGATGTTGGCGTCAGCGTCGTCGGTTGTGAGCGAAAAATTATCTGTCCGTGACCTAAAAATTGAGAAAGAAGCAAATAATAATAAAAATTTTTGTTTGAAGCAAGAATCTAACCACAGGCCATCTCCGTGGCAAGCACGCCTTTGAACCGCCCACTCATAACGTATTTCACATGGTTTATCGCCTGGCGTTATCTCTGCCGCGCAATATTACACGGGTTAAGAAGATTGCTTTCACTACACGACATTCATATAGTGTGTGTGTGTGTGTGTGTGTGTGTGTGTGTGTGTGTGTGTGTGTGTGTGTGTGTGTGTGTGTGTGTGTGTGTGTGTGTGTGTGTGTGTGTGTGTGTGTGTGGTGTACGTGTAGTGTGCGTGTGTGTGTGTGTGTGTGGTGTGTGTGTGTGTGTGTGTGTGTGTGTGTGTGTGTGTGTGTGTGTGTGTGTGTGTGTGTGTGTGTGTGGTGTGTGTGTGTGTGTGTGTGGTGTGTGTGTGTGTGTGTGACCTACTCTCACAAAATCTCAGACAGCGTATCATGACGCAGCCCATTCCTCACAATATGCATTCGTACAACCATAGAGGACACCGGAAAGCTCGAGTACAAAGGCTGCAACGACTGAAGGACCACCCTGACGTTTATTATACAGACGTGGGGCAGTGAGGGCAATCTCCCGCTTTCGCTCTCGCCGTAGTCAACCGGGTTAAACTTGTCGATTCCTCTAGTGGCTAAGGTACCCGGCTGCTGACTCGCAAGTCGCGGGATCAAATCCCGGCTGCGGTGGCTGCATTTCCGATGGAGGCGAAAATGTTGTAGGCCTGCGTGCTCAGATTTGGGTGCACGTTAAAGAACCCCAGGTGATCGAGATTTCCGGAGCCCTCCACTGCGGCGTCTCTCATAATCATATGGTGGTTTTGGGACGTTAAACCCCCCACATCAATCAATCAACTTGTCGACTCCGCGTTCACACGCACCTCATCCTCCGCGTGAGCCGAGGCAACTGACATCGCTCTCGCCATTCGAACGGCAGACCAACAAGGTATATCTGCTTACGTGGTCTGAGACTGTCATGTAGCTTGTCGCATGTACCTCAAAGACATGTTACCAACAATAGTCATCAAGCTGTTGGGAAGCGAGTTCCTCTTTGACCATGCGTTAGTCTCGTGTCCGGCCCGTACGAATTAGGATGACAATGAACTAGTTCATTAGCAAGCTCGAGTACTCAGCGGTCGAGTCCCACGACCACCCACCACTGAAGAACGTAGGTGAAGGGGTCACACGACGTGGAATCTTAGACGAACAAAAATTAGATCTCCTCCCCCCCCAAGGACCTCGATAGACATCAAGCTTGAGACTGGCACCGCCTGAAGACTAATACATTCCCAAATCTGCAAAGCTTCACTTCATATACACGGAGAGATAGCTCTACACATGCCCGTGGTGCCGAGGTACTCCTTCACTAACACATATTACCTACAGCTGTCTAGAGCGACCTGTCACAGTCGACAGAGGGACATACGCACCCAGTAGAAACGTGGTCGTGGGAGGCGTGACTCACTGAACGGACCCGAGAAGCCAACTGGCGACCCTGGGTCAGGCCCGCCGAGCCGCCATCGCCAGTGTAGCCTTGGAAAAAAGGCTCTACCAGCGATGAAGCAGTACTTTTTAAATAAATGTTCTCTCTCCCCCTCTTTCTCTACATCACATGTATCGAGGCACGTGAGCACACTTGCACGGCTGTACTATAGCCATGCTAACACGTCGCGAGATCATGTGTTCTAGGTCTCATGGAAAAGAAAAGTGACACAGAGGAAACGCTTTCCAGCTGGCACAATTTCGCAATTGTCCTGCATCTTCGAGGACAGTTCTATCAGGGCGCAGAGAGAGGACGGCAGTGCCTGGAAGGCACCTACAAAATTGCGGGAAGATTCCTATGTGATTGAGTACTCCTAGCTCTGTTGATTTAGGCGCTCACCATGAATATTATCAGTTCACCCAGGCGACCGTTTACAAGACACGAAGGAAGCTTTTAGCGCACAAGCCGAGGACAAAGCAATGGCACGAGACGCGCGTGGGATGGCGCTTTGTTTGACCTTGACTTGTGCGGAAAAATCGTTATTCGCTTGTACACTTTTGAAGAAGGAAAACGACGTAGTGTATCTCTTCACTCCTGTTATACTGCCTTTTCCTTCTTTTTACTTGCACCTTTCTTAGAGGTATCGAAATAATGACGCCGGTCCTGAAGCTACGAGTAATTATTGGTGCGTGCAGCCGTGAGGTCAAATGAGCTACGCGACAAACGTGCGATGCAGGTCTCTCGATGGCCATCACGCTCGGCACTTGCACAAATACGCCGTCGATATACTATGCTTTCCTACGTCGTCGCCTCCGCCCTCGTCAGCTGTAGCGTCACTTTCTCGGTGATTGCGCGCTCGTAATACCCTCCCGCCAAAGAGAGTAACGCGGACGACGTCGTGCAAAGCCGGTGTCTTCAGTTTGCGCCGCACCGTGGTCGTCCTGTCAGCGTATACACTTCGTCATCCCCCTCTGAAATCTGGAGTTTTTCACCTGGACACAGGTAAGTAAAAACTAGTTCATCCTCAGAAACCCCCCAAGAGATGCATTGACAGCTTGCTTGTTTTCGTGAAAACATTCATAGCTGCGATTTCATGTCAACGCATTCTAATGCGGTGAAAGATTGAACGAATGTCTAAGGCATTAGCTGTGCTTTACTGAAGTCGCCATAAATGTTACTTCTCGTGAGACAACTTATAAGAGCACTGACACGAGTTTGAAAGGTTTCAGGACTGTTGCTCTAGATAAAAATACTGGTGCCCAGAAGCCTAAAACGAGCGTTTTGGAGCCTAGAAACTCATCGAATATATTTTTATTGCTGCCACGTTCGTGTTCTGACTGTCCTAACCTGGGAGCGGCCCGCTGTGCGCTGAGTCATGCACATGTGGACTCCCAAAGTTTTCTATCCCTCCACCCATCCAATCGCTACTCTAAAGAACAATTCCGGATTCGATATCGAGGGGCTTCTTCTCAGTGACGTGTCACAGCAGTGTGATGTCAATGGGATCGACTCGCGGCTGGCAGCTAATATGGCGTCTGCTTGTAGTACGGTGCGAAGCACTTTATTGAAAGATCCGAAGAATTCAAACCCCTAAGGTCACTGGAAAATTTAACTCATACTTATTTACGTGCACCACGAGCAGATGTGTCAAGGGGGCAGGGAGCCGTACATGGTCGTGGTGCACTGTGTGAATTGTCGCCCAATGACCCTGACAGCAGTTTCTGCGATTTAGACTGCACCCAGAATTCAGCGCCCGGAAAATCTGGGTAACTATGTTTAATTGTCGGGATAATGTCCATTCCAGTGGGGCTGGCTTAAGGATGCTCAGCGACGAAAACTTTATAATTAGAGTAAAATATTTCATCCGTGTTCTATGACCGCGGTGTGTGGAGAGCGTTGAAAATGAAGGAAATTAAAAAAAATGCACGATGTCTCTAGAGGGTGTCATTACTCGTTTAAAAGCTGAAAGTATCTGACAGAAGCTTGTCTCTGTATCAAAAACAGAGAATGAAGAAAATCGAAAGGTCTAATGTTCAGTGAGTGCCCGATTTTTTAGCATGCGGAAAGTAATTAGGTACAATATCATACTATTCATTTGTTTTGATATCTCTTCTTTTATTGCATTGCTTGGTTATGTAAGCACATGTTAATTACGTGGAACCGAGTTAACTGGCGCTTAAAAGCATTTCCTCGAGAAAAACAAGTGCCCAAGGATCTGTATGTGTCTCTCCTGCTCCTTGGTGGGGCTCAAAGTGTCTCCACGCTTTTTGAGATTTGTTTGTTTGTTGGCTTGTTTGTTTTTGTTTGTTTGTTTGTTTGTTTGTTTGTTTGTTTGTTTGTTTGTTTTGTGGCTGGTCAGTCACATGCCACCAGTGAAACTTGACGGGCCGCATATAGCACAGCTGTCCAACGCCATGTTTATTGTACTACTCGAACCAGCAAATTATCGTAAAAGAGTTGCTATTCAGAATTACAGTAAGCTACAAGAAAGTAATTTCTTGTTCTTGAAATGCAAAGCTTTAGTTTCACGATCACGCATTATCTTTTTTTTTTTTGCAAAATAGGAGAAAGAATACGTTGGGCTCATTGTGTTGTCTTGAGCAAATGCTAATAAGTTCAAGTATAAACTTTTCGTTCAAAGAAACGATCACTCTAATTCAATGTAAGCCAAGCTACCTATAAAAAAAACATGCCCTTCTCTTGGGATGTACTTATAACGAAGAAAAAAGCTAATCTGCTATTTTAACTTTTTTTCAACTCATTGTTTCACAAAGTTCGTCTTCATTCTCAGATTCTCAGATTCCCTCACTTATATCTGTGCTGCAAAAAGGCCGTCGTCATTTTTGTGTAATCCTTGTGGTTTTGCATTTTTTTATTTTCGCATTGTTTGTGTCATCCGCTGTCGCTCAGAAGTCGCGAGTTTTCTTCTGTCTAAAGCAAAATATCTTGTCTCATATTGGAAATGGCAATTTCACTTCGATGGAAATTGCCAAGGCTTTATTTACACATCAGTGAAATACAGACAGCAGTTGTGCACTAATTAAACATACATATATAAACGACCTCTGTTACATTTAGAGCGTTAGGCCGTTACATAATAAAACCAAACATAATTTTTGTTTGACTTGCAGTGCATCAACAATGTTGGCTGGCTTAGCATTACATATCGCCGCTATATGCCTGGTGATCGGAGACGCCGAAGACACGGAAAATGTCATTCGCACTACTTCTGGAGATGTCAGGGGCATCATTTGTTCGACAACGACTGGTCCAGTGCTGAAGTTCCTGGGAATACCCTTCGCTGAGCCACCAGTCGGAGAACTTCGCTTCATGAAGCCAACGCCTAAGAAACCCTGGGCAGGCGTGTTGAACGCCACGTCGCTGCCACCGATGTGTCCGCAGGTACCCATTAGAATCAACAGCTACTTCGCAGTGAATTCAACGGATCCCCTTTCTGAAGACTGCCTATTTCTCAACGTGTTCAAACCAGTTGTAAATAACGATTCCGCTTCGAAACCCGTAGTAGTGTACATTCACGGAGGAGGGTACACATTTGGGGGCATCGCGATGAAGATATACGACGCGTCCGAACTCGCCGTCCGAGGAGACCTCGTCGTCGTCACCATCGCGTACAGACTGGGACCTCTTGGGTTTCTGTACATTCCGGGCACCGAAGAGGCCCCCAGCAACGTGGGTCTCTACGACCAGCAACTTGCCATGCAATGGGTTAAGGACAATGCCCGTTTCTTCGGCGGCGATCCAGATGCTATCACGGCGATGGGGCATAGCGCCGGGGCCATCTCGATCGGCTTCCATCTCTCGTGGCCAAGTAGCGCCCATCTCTTCCAACGCGCCTTCCTTCAAAGTGGCAGCCCGTTCATCAAAGCTTTCGTGAGTAGCCCAGCGCAGGCACAAGTCAGGACAAATATGCTCGCCGACTACCTCGACTGCAAAAAACGGGACTCGCGCGAGCTTTCCGGTACTGAAGTGGTCACGTGCTTGCGATCTAAAAACGTCAGTGATATACTAGAAGCCGCTGATAGTATCAATACAGCCGGACTGGACGGGTTCTTCCCGGTTTTGGGCGCCGACTTCGTGCCGAAAAAGCCCGGCAAAGCCCTCGCTCTAACCCCATCGGTCACGCGTGATGTCCTTGTGAGTATTTGCGAAGCGGAGGGGGACCTCTTCCTCGAGCATTTCCTAACGAACGTCAACAATGTGAACAACATTGATTCAGTTACCAAACGCCTCTTGGCAGTGATTGTGAAGGTACTGCTGAATTCCATAGCGAACTTCGACACCGAGCCCATTCTGAAACGCTACTTCGACCCGGTAACTGCAAAGAAAGGTGTCGATGTTGTTCGCGCTGCCTCTGATCTCTTCGGTGACTTGCTGTTCGGCTGTCCCGCACTGAGCATTGCCCGCACACTCTCAGCGGTGAACGCTTCGGTGCACGTTCTTCGTTATGCCGAGAAGCCTTCCTTCCTCGGCTGGCCCGAGTGGACTCGACCGACGCACGGCGATGACATTGTGTCCAGCTTGGGCTCAGCCCTCAGCCTAGCCGGTCGGCCTTCGACCGTGGACGTCAAGACAACCGAGAACATGATAAACGTCGTCTCGACGTTCATTCGCACGGGGCAAGTATTGATTGAGCCACTTATTAACTGTCTATTATGGCAGTTTGTGCATAGTGTTAGATTCCGCTATACGTATTACGTATCAACTAACACTCCAGAAAAGGTATGCTATCAAGGAAAACTAAGCGTTGTGGGTTGTGTACTGCGAATTCCTTATCACAACTCCATTAAGAAGCTTTAAATGAAGCTATTTTTCCTTGAACTAGTCATCAAATGGGTCGTTCTGAATGCACGTGCAAGACCTTCCCGGTTTATTTCTACTGGTTCGAAACTACTTTGCCCGAGGCTATTATTGAAACGGAAAGCGTAAATAGCCGGCTTTTTGACTTGGCCGCCTTCGGCATTCCAACTGCTGCTGTGGAAATTTCTGTTTATCAGCGTCATAGCCAGACACTCAGCAATGCAGCCTTGCAGGTTCTATGAGAGCGGACTCGATGCAGAGTTTCCAAATCGTTTTAACGAGATGAAATGTTGCAACTGCTCTTATAGCGCTGTGCGAACAAACAGCTGCTTGCTTCGCATACATGTCACGATTACAATACACGGCTATGAGGTAGGATCAGGAGCTTCGTAGGAATGCAGTCTCGGAACTAGCATAGTTAGTGTAAAGCTGCTTTTGAAACTCAAGTATGTATCCCGAATGTTTTTGATTTTGTTGGCTGTATTTTATTACAGCGCAACTTGCTCTTTTTACGTTGTTCTTTTTGCTGCGCACACTGTAAAGAAACTCTAGTGCGTAGATTCTACAAAGACACAAATTTAATACCAAATCCTACACCTACCAAATTTCTCGATTTGTCAATTTAGGTAAGCTATCATGTTTGAAATTTTTGTATAGCCAAAGAGGCTCTTTCATTTAATCACGTTTGTCTCATGCAACCTGTGTGACCACTGTAATAACAAGCAAAGTTACATACTCGCTTATTTAAAGACATCCTAGCATTTCATTTTTAACGCTTCTGGCGTGGCGTTTGGTGCACTTTGCAGTGTTCCGAAAGTCATCGATGGCACAACGTGGCAAAGATTCGACAAAGATGGACACTACATGCACATACGCAACGGAAGCAACGTCCAAGAGAGGAGTTTCCTCGAATCCACGTGTAATTTATGGCACGAACTCTTGCCTGATCAATAAAAAAAAAATCGCCAAACCTGCACTGAACGCGCAGCACTGTCACAGCGAAATCCAGAGGAGCAGCCTTTAAGAGCCTTTTTTTTTTTACACTTTTTTGGGGTAGCTGATGCAAGCACACTTGCAGGGTACTCACTATGCCTTTAATCGTTGTGTAGTGTATATATGCAAGCATTCACTATGCCGTCCTTCGTCATTCTTCGGAGAATCGTGGTACCTGCTGCACACTTGCACGAGGCTTCGTGCAATTTTTGTGTGCAGCGGCTGACGACGATGAAGAATTATGCCAGGTGCTTTTGTAGTCCCCACAATCCCCCACAGTGGGTAGGCGCCGCAGTTAATAGGTGAACAAGATGAAGTTTTTGTCAAGGGTTGGAGAATTAGACGACCCACTAGTTGCGCAATTCGCGTTATAGGACACGTGGTTGTGCCTTTGTTGTTCTATAACGCTTTATCACTCATATCAACGCTATTCCTTACCCGACATCAAGCCTGCCTAGGATCGATTTGCAAGAGAGTTCCAAACACCGGTGTGGCTCAGTTCCTGGGCCTGCACGCAGGGGACCCTGGTTCGAATCCCATCGCGTGCTTGGTGTTTTTCATTTACTGACTCTTTGTTTCGCATTTCGTGCCATACCGGTGATGGTGCTGGCGGCGGACAGCTATAACGTGCACGTGACCCGTGTTGGGATTTCATAACAGCTTTCCCTATAATAAAACGTTCTTGTCATCGTTGTTTTATTTCATAAGCAAACTGTTGTTCAACGTCAAAGCTTCAATCACAACAAATGTAAGAAAAGTGGCAAAAGTGTCAATGATCTAAATGCTGTTGAATGAGGGCAGTTATGGCTATATTTTCCCTAGAACAATAAAAGACTGGAATGTATTACCTGATGCTATACGTGATTCTCAAACTGCAGAACATTTTGAAAACAATGTTACGAAATATTTTCTAAGTGAATCTTCGTAAACGGTGATTGCTGTTTTTGGTGTGTGTGCCTGTCATCTTTTGACTATGAATATATTTGCTGTAACCTGTCTCATGTACATTGTAGGATGTAATATTGGGAAGTGTATTTTGTGATGTATGTGATGTAGCATGTAAGTCGTAGAACGTAGTATAGTGATGTATTCCTTTTGTATCGGCTATGCATTTCTGTTTTACGCATGACATGACGGTTGTTATGTCAGTTTTCTACCCCACCCCTGTAACGGCCCAATCGGCCAAGAGTACCTGGAAATAAAAATAAATAAATATCAGCGTATCGTCAACATTGTCAATCATGTAGTCAACGTGGTTTGACACGTAAAGCCCGAGAACTGTAAATATCAAGTTTTCAAAATACCAATGCTTGGTTTTTTTTTTATCTTCATTCAATTTCATGCCTGCATCGAGAAATAAAAAAACTAAGCAGCCTGTTTGAAAATTACGTTTTACATAACCCCGGCTTCATAGTCTTCAGTTTAGCAGTATCTCTTCCCACCGGCACGTTGAATTCTTGAAGTTCATGGATACCCTTAATCAGACTCCACGATTTCTTTATCAAGTACATCACACCAACCAAACCTGCGTCAACTAGACATCAACGTGTTCTGATTATGTATGCTTTTCATCATCACACAAATCCCTTAAAATACTCTGGTTGAAAACAGGAACCTTTTAATTGGTCGTGTAAAATATTTAGCAATTGCTGAATTCCAAGTGGGCAATGCTAACCATTGATATTCATGTTCACTACATTTGTATTGTTTTCAATTTTTCTTATATCTGCTATACCACACATCTGCGATATCACTTCTAGACTCCAGTATGTTGGAAAAGAAATAAAGTAAATATAAATATTGAAGCCATGGTGGAGTATTTTCTAGGTTGTTTCTAAGGTGCGTTAACACTCGATGTTGAGCACCAAGATCTAGACAAAGCTGTTTAGAGTAGTCGACCAATCTGAATATATATATATATATATATGAATAAAAAGAAGACACACGTCGAAAAACGGAAAGGTTTCTTTGTGCGTCTTTTTTTTATTCATACTATTTACCGGCGTCCAAGAACTTATTCCCTGCAAATATATATATATATATATATATATATATATATATATATATATATATATATATATATATATATATATATATATATATATATACCACTTCGTCCTGTTAGGCATCACGTAGCACATGAACTTAATACGAGCTGGCAGCAGACGAATAATCTCTCGTGCACTACCTGAAGGCACCACCGTGTCTCTCATAACCATATGGTGGTTTTGGGACGTTAAACCCCACATATCAATCAACCTGAAGGCACCAATTAAAACTGCCATAATGAGCCCCTCGTTATGAATGAAGGCAGTAAATGTATATTTAAGCACAATTTTTTTTTGTTAGACACAATATTATTCACTAATTGCTGCGGTTTATGACGTCTTCATGAGGCCTGCACAGTCTGTTCCCTTTCCTCGCGCCAATAACCCGGGCAAGGTCCCATGATTGTTCTTGGTGACGGTTCTGGCTAAAGTATCGTGAGCCCTCAGAAATCCTCGCGAATAAGTCTCTAAAAGTAAAGCACTAATATAGCCACAAAGTATTTCTGTGCCAATAAAAAATTACAGCATATCCATGGAGTGAACGATGATGAGTAGGGCGAAGCATCCATCCATCCATCTGTTCGTTTGTCCGTGCGTCCGTGCATGCGTCCATGCGTCCGATTGCGCTCGACAATACAGAGGGTGCGCTGGTAACATCGGCGAGACGCGAGCCAAGGAAGTCGAGCGCAAGCGTCTTCAACGCGCCCGCCACTCTACTTCGTCCATGCCCCACCAACGATTCGCCACGTACGGTGACTATTCAGGAGACTGAGAGAGGCACTCGTTCTCCGCGTACCCAGACACAGCCCACACAGGAGCTAATCTGAGAGTAGTAGTACAGCGCCATCTAGAATATCCTCCCTCAACTGCAGTTTGTATGTAGTTCTGAGACAGCGCCGTCTATTATACTGTTAGAAAGATACTGCCTTATTTTCTTTCTCGTCTCTTCTTCTCTCGGTTACGAGTGACGCATGACATGGTCAGACTAAGAGGAGCTTCGCCCCTAAAAGTTGTGCGGTCTGTTATACATTTGTCCAAGACGGCTAAATTGAAGGTGAAAGCTATCTTTTTCATTTGGGTCTCAGTCATTTGCATTTATCACGTCCTCTGACTCTCTCGAAGCTTTTCAGCACGCAATATGGTTTTTTTTTTTCACGGCTCCTAAGGATCAAATGCATTGAAACATTCTGCACCTCAGATAGTTTTGCTATACCTCAGAGATCAGTCTCCCTTGGGCCAAGCGACGATGTCCGGTCATGACGTCATGATGGCGTTGTAGGGTGATGCCGACGCCACCTACGGTCCCTTTCACTTCTGATGAGGCATCCAAGGTTTTCGTCTATAGTAACATGTCCGGCATGGCGGCTGGTTCCCACATTCTCACGAGTGTAACGTGACTGAGTCATTCATAATGCAGGTGTGGGCATTTTCTCAAAACCAGAAAGATTGCACATATTTATTCAACGAGCTCCATGGGCTTCTCATGCAAACGGGATACACCAATTTTGTTGCCCATGCATATTTTAGTGTTGCACCACACTTCTCACTTTTTCGTCGTACAATACCTCACAAAGGCTGTGAATGTCGCGATAGTTACAAAAGATTGCGAAAGCAAAACTAAACAAAACGTCTTTATTTTCGCTCCAGCACCGATGCACACAACTAACTGTCAGTCATGCCACGTCGTTTGAACTCTCCCAGTCCCTCTCAAAGGAGTCCAGACTATAGAAAAAAAAACTTGCAATTGTACAAAGAACTCGAAGTAACATGTACATTGTAGAAAAATGTGTTTTCTTACCACTGCTACTAATTACGGCATAGATTGGTAGGCGGTATAACTAGTCTCCAAATCTTGTTCAGAAAAACAGAGCTTTGATCAATAGACTGTATGATTACGTTGCGGGCTAACATCCTCCTTCTGTTTAAAAAAAACACACAGATTATGAGCTGCGCCATGCATTTCAGCAGTAATAGTTCTACGGTGCTTCATTACAATGGTTGTGTAAAACTAGGCAATCGTAAGTAGTGCTGACGTATGAAAAAGTAGTTCTTGCTACTGGGAAAGAAACCATATCTGAATACGTTGTTGAAAAGCCAATTGTAAATCAAATGACTGATATTTCAGCGTGGTAAATGCAAAGCAGGGCATCAATGATATATATTTAGAGCCGGCACATGCGGATTTCTGAAAATATCCTTCTTTAAGGACGAGTTAGAACGAAATCCCACGTGTGTGCGTTTCACCGCACAGAAAGTGATGTTAGATGCCACAATCTTGGGGCATATCGCTATTTTAAGTTTAAGAGGTTCAGACTTTAAAGTCACGTAACATTCTGGCGTTGGGTGGTTGGACGTATATTTTACGTTAAACCTATCGGAAATATGTTTGTTCCTGATACTGCTGTCAGATACCTACAGGACCTCGCTCATTTGGTTTTTTCGGTACTATTATTCAGCCGTATTTTGGTGCTGCAAGATTATTTATTTATTTATTTATTTCATATATTTTTATTTATTACTATACCCTCAAGTACCGGAGTGTCTTACAGAGGGGTTAACTCCTGGTATATTCGGACATGGAAGTCTTTTCGAGCTCACGATGTTTGGTAAAAGTCAACTTTGGTCTTAACAAGAGCTCTTAGAGGGAGCAAAGTAGTCTAAACAAAAAAAGCCAATTCTTTGGATACTTCAGCCATCGTGAGTTCAAGGCAGCTATTTGCGTATGGGTTTACATTGGCCTCATAAAACATGATTGCACGAACCTTCAGCTCCTGTTCCGTCTTCCTTGGTTGGCTTCACTTGAAAAAGTAGATTTATTATGTACAGAGGTTCAACCAAAATGCTTCACTTTTCTACGTAAATGCAGCTCCACTCGGTCTCCTCGGTTGAACGCCTTTTTCAGGAGCTACAAAACCTCCTGGAAGTAATACCCAACCCCCTGAAAGAGAATTCGAAATGTGCGACAGAACACTAAAGCTTTAGGTGGCGTTAAAGTAATACTAAAGGCGACTTTTCAATGTGAGCACATTCGCTTGGAACACAGGGAATAACTTAAGCCGTTGTAGGCTTGCAACTGCAAATCTACAGTTCATTATTTTCTCAGATGCCACATTTGGTACATATGGCGTGAAATTTCCCTGGATTTCATGGGAAAACACATTTTACAGGACTAAATTGGTTCACCTGATTCTTGTTCCACCGGTACACCCTGTTGTGTACGTTCTTGTGTTTTGAACTCATGGCTGGGTGACGTAGTGGCAAGAAAACTAGTTTAATGATTGACCACCATTTAGTACTTCTACGTAAACACAAACATTTTCGAAACATCAGACATACTGGGCATTTTCCAAGTGAATATCAATAACGAGGTTACGTGAAACGAGACCAATACCATGTCATAGGAGGCCGTGGCCGCACACTCACTGTAGTCATGCCCTCTTCCGTGAACCCGCACGATGCCAAAGCAATAATTAGATTTTACTTCCTTTCCCGTTTTCCGGCGTATATGACTCGTCCTTACGCACATTTCCAAGTTGCATGCGACGACAAAAGACAACAATAACAGCAACAAATAGAGAGCGCGCACAGTAGCAAAACACGGCACGTTGAGTAACTTGTGTATACGACAAACGAAACGTTCAACAACGCTAAAAACAAGCCAACAATGTACAGCTGATTGAGGCTAGGATGCTAGGGTGGGCGTACGCACCGCTTGGAGGGAACTCAAGGGGCGACACACTAGCCTGACGTAGAAACGTGAGAAACCAAGTCCGCTCAGACGGCACGGAGCACTTTGCGCCAGCAACGAAGTCCCGCACTCTGACGCCGTCTCGCGAGGCGAAGCTGCCTCTGCGCACACGAACGCTCAGCCGATGACGATGTCCTGTGACGTCCCGTTGCCTCCGCGAAGCCTCCAGAAGTTCTTCCAGAAGTTGCACTCTTCGAGACGAGGTCCCACCTGGACGCTCGCTTCACTTGCCGAGATGGACACGTAGAAGGGGCTCTGTTCGGAGAACCGAGGCCACGACGAGATCATCGTCGGCATGTCCGGCCGCCTGGAACAAGAAAAGCAAGAAGAACGTGACAGGCGTGAATGTCCCGTAGCATGGTAGAAAGCTTTTGTGTGTGACACCAATCTTCATGTATATAAATATAAGCGCACACATGAATGCACCATTTAAAAGCGAGGCACCAGGCCAATCTAATGCGTCCCACTTCATCTTTACGAAGTGCAGGGAAATTTAATGTTGTCCTGGTGGACCCTGTGCGGTATCACTTATAATAGAAATGCTGAATGACAGTGCTTACAGTGCCTTCCTTTCTACGAGTAAATTGCCCCAAACGCGCATACGTACGTGTTTGTGTGTGTGTGTGTGTGTGTGTGTGTGTGTGTGTGTGTGTGTGTGCGTGTGTGTGTGTGTGTGTGTGTGTGTGTGCGCGCGTGCGCGTGCGCGTGCGTGTGTTTCCATTCTTTTTGGACGTGCAGCAATTGTTCTATTAACTCGAGGAGTATTCCAAGATTCATTTCATCCACTTTCCTGGCAAGGTATAGAAAGTCCACATTCCAGACAATTTTTTCAGACCAATATTGCTGCCATGTTTAATTGCTAGTTGCATCACTGATTAAAGTTGACTGCCAGGGGCTAGTATCATCTATAGTATGGGCAGTTCGCTGGTATAGTAGGAAGGCTGTCTTCGTGCAGCTCTTCGACCAGATCGAAATGTCACTTTATTTTTTCAGATAAGAAGGCCCATTTGTTCGACCTATGTATAGCTGTTAACCAGGTTTCCCTATACAATATGGTGACTTTGAAGCAGGCACGATAACTAGGAAAAACATTCCGCTTCAAAATTAATAGTCAAGAAACATAGAACCATAGTAATAATAACTATTATTTTTGTGGTTCTACGTTCCAAAACCACGATGTGACTATGAAAGACGCCATAGTATAAAACTCCAGAAATACAGACAACCTGGGAGTGGACCACTTAAGTACAGGCACACGGGTCTCAAGCATTCGGTCGTAATCGAAATGTCACCGTCATGGCTGGAGTTCGACTTCACGACCTTCTGCTGAGCTGCCCAGCACTGTAGCTACTAGGCCACTCTGAAGGGTCTAAAACCATACGGTGTATACAGTTAACTTCTACGGGCTTTATGTATTTAGTACTTCTGATGGCATCTACCAGATAAGAAATGGAAACTCATACAAAGCAGGCGACAGGCGATGCAAGCAAATGCAACAAACTTTTGGCCACGTTGCCCTGTCTTGCACACGTTACAGAAAATAAGTAACATGTTATTATTACCACTACTTCATTTAAAATATAATTGATGATAGCAACCAGTTACAGCCCCTGAAAAGTAACTGAGGAGTTATAGAAAAGTAATAGATTACCTTTGCGATACTTTCAAGATTTTATTGCCGAAACACTGTTGAAGTTCACCACAACTACAGCGAACTACTGTGGCTTACATGGTATAGAGAAGGCTGAAGGTTCGTGTGAAGCGTGGAAGGCTTATTGTGGCTTCTATGGTATAGCGTTGGATGTTGACTTTCAGCAAAAGCTGTTCTCATAGTTTTCATTCGCTCTTTCTTTCCTGTTTCCTCATTAAAAGTTCAACTGCTACACTGAACTCCCACTCAGTGCATGTGTTGGATGGAAGAAGCGGGCTAACATAACGCAACACCTCGTGGTTAAGCAATGGTTCGATGATAGTTTGCAAAAGATATCAATGTTCTGGTTCACGTATGGTAGTAAAACTTTAATTGCATAATCACTATGTAATGGCGTTCCGGTATCTCGGTATTGCTATCAGACCGCTGTGTAAGGACATATACCGTCCTATCATAAGGGTGGATTCTCGCAGAACCGTCGCTAATTTTTCGTGACGATCCCTGCCGCAGTAGACTTCGCAACTTGATTTTCGAAAAAGAAGTGTAATTTGTCACCTGTAGTCAGTAACTAGAAAATGCGATTGAATTATCCAAAACTACGGTTCTGAAAAAGTAATCGTTCATAGTATAAAATGACAACAAAGCGTAATCTATTACTTGTAACGTGTTGAGCACAACGTGTTGGGCACAACCTGTCCGTCTTTGCCGGATGGCTGGTAATGCCGGTGGTTGCAAGCGACACGGGGTGGGCGAAACACGACATCCACAAATCGTAGCCCCTTCCCGTGCTCGGTGGGTGGCGCTTCCATCCAGATAACTATTATTTCCTTGTGAAACTTTCAAAGAGCGGTTTGCGTTAAGGGGGCACATGCAGCGCACTAATGCCGCAATCACGCACTCATAACATGGGGCTAGCACAATTAATGGCGATTACGTCATTTTAGGTGCGAGTGATTGTGTGCTTCCTACGCTGCTTCATTAAATACCATGGATATTCAACGAGCCCATCGCTTCATTTGAAATGGGATACGTATTTTGTGTCGTTCATATATTTCTTACATTTATTCCCAAAATCGCTTTTACGAAAGCAGCACATGCACCAACTGTAGAACATATTTTGAGTGCCGAGCGTATGCCGATGAGCGTGCGCTCTATGATCATTACACGTATGAGCTAACCCGAATAACTTCATCAACGAACTGTGTCTTGGGCCCTTTAACCTACTTCACGCAAACGAGGCATGCGATGAAACTCTTATTCACGTATTTGGACAATATCGGTCTGCTCGACCAACTGTAGTGGCACCTTAAAAAACTCGTAATAAGTCATTCTGTCAGCACAAGTCCCCGCCCAAGAGAGAAAAAGCTGCCTGTACATTCTTTTTTTTCTTTCCTTTTAAAGTTTTAATATCTTTTCTCTCTGTCTTTCAGTCCTCAATCCCCGTTCTCACGTAGAGTAACAAGTCAGCGTTTTACACACGCAGGCTCAATTCTCTGCTTTTTAGTGAAGATTTCTCCCTCTGAAACACGTTATTCAACAAAATCATAACTGAAAACTGAGGTTGTTGCTACCAGAGGCAGTACTCGCGAGTGACAGCAGAGCAGATAGAGGGGGAGAATTTGCTGATATCTCTCCCCCTCATTGTCCAGAAGTTTGTCTAGCTGCGATATCAGCGATAAGCCTGTTTAGATGCAACATTGCGCCCGATGTCTCCCTGAGCAAAACTTCGATGGTTGCAACTGGCAAGAAGAAAAACAAACGTAGCGTGATTTTTAAGACGATGTTAGAATTCGTTATCTCACAACAAGGTGAAGGTGAACTGTAAGGCAGCGTATTCCGCATGACTGCCGCACCCCTGCGCCCTCTCCCTTTGCGCTCGCCTGTGCCATCATGGGTGCAAATATGAAATTGAAGCGATGACGCCACGTTTCTTTCCTCAGGTTTTGTTATCAACCCATTACACTACGTTCAGCGCAAACCACGCCTACGATCTTCAAGAAGCTTCGAGGCTTTAGTAGATCGTTTTGTTAAGATTACGCCCACTTCGGGAACGTCACAGATTATTCGAGAACGTATACGTCGCCGCTAGCGATGGCGCTAGAATATTCGATGGCAAGGCTATAAATGTCAACACGTTTCGCCGCTTGTCAGTTCATCGACGGCCGACGCTTTGCTGGCCGCTATCAGTGCATGTGTCTTGCTGTAATTTGATTTTCCTTTCACGTGACCACTAGTTTGGCTCAAACAGTTTATTATTAGACCTGCAGTCTGCTCTTTTCGTCCTCGTCACGACCCCGTGAGACTATTGATCTCTGCCTTTCCAGAAGTAAAGGTGCGTAGTTCACGGTTCTCTTATTGAAACACCAGGGGTACTCTGTCGCCATGATCCCCAAAAATCACGCGTTTAGTCATAACCCTATAGCATAAAAAAATGGCGTGAAATGCTAGACTGAGCGAGGTCAGAATCGGCACCTCGTTATGGTGATCAGGTTATACGTTCCCCCATGCCCCATTGCGCACGCTTGCGCTTCTAAATGTAATGTTTATGTTGAGCTCGTTGATTTATCACAGATATTGTCAAACTGATGTTACGGGCTGCACAAAATTACGAGACAGAGAACACTTCTACATGTTGATATACGCTTAGTGACGTCTTCTACGGGTAAACAACTAGCAAGAGTATGAGTACTGGTTTCATAGGAAGTGCTCCGTTGTAGACAGCGTGCTGGGGCGGGCTTTGACGACGAGCGAGACGGGCAGGAAAACAAAAGCGACTACGTCGGCTACCCAAACACTGCGTGCGTGACGAATGATGCGCGCCACTTGTAGCAGCTAACTATGCATCAGCACGTCGTGCATGACGAGCGTGTCGTAGTGGCACTAGTGACGTCAATTGTAGCCAAACTGGTGCACATCACCGTACCATACGAAAAAAAATTTTTTTTCCGAGCTCGCCTGTTTCTAGTTCGCTCGCATACGTTGTAAATATAATTGATTTTAACAAAAAGTAATCCAATATTTGTGTCGCACAGGGCGACAAGTGTATTACATTACGAGTGTCATCCGAAGGGCAGGCCATTAACATGTAATGAGGTCAACCTAGCGGCTAACGTGTCGGGCTGTCAAGTACGAGGATACGGGTTCGATTCCCCGCCAATGCAGCCGTGCTTCGACGGTAACGGAATACACGTTACTTATAATGAGGGACAAGTTAAACAAGTTTTTGAGGTAAAGAACATTCGAAAGTCTTCCGCTTAACGGCGTGGCCCCGCCGTAGTTGTCTAGTAGTGAAGGTACACGGCTGCTAACCCGCAGGTCGCGGGTTCAAATCCTGACTGCGGCGGCTGCATTTTTGAAGGAGGCGAAAATGCTGCATTCCTGTGAGCTCAGATTTGGGCGCACGTTAAAGAACCCCAGGTGGTCGAAATTTCCGGAGACCTCCATTACGGTGTCTCTCATAATCATATGGTGGTTCTGGTCCACACATACCAATCAATCAATCCGCAACAGCGTACCTCATAGGAATGTATTCAACCATCATGCCATAACTTTCGTACGCTAAACACCAGAACAAAAATTATTAGGCATCCTGTAACAATGACGACGATATTTTACTGACCGCTGTTCTTGCGTAGTCTTATGTGCGCACGGACGGG